TTGCATAATCACTTTCATAAAATACCGCAGAATAATGTTTAAGAGGTCGCCCATACAAAAAGTAGTCCTAATTTATTAAATAGTTTTGTATAAATCCATTTTTAGATTGTGATAAGGATCTCAAACAACTAAAAATAATGTTTTAAAATAAAATAAACCCACACTAAAGTATCAGAAACTTATAGAACAAGGTTTGGTGAATTCAAAAATAATTGTTTTTTTTTAGCCTTAAAAATAATCATTTCTCGTTTTTTTTTTTCAGTTTTAAGTTTAAAGTTGTTTATAAGTTGAAAATGATTAACTTTAAGAAAAATACAATAAATCTTTTTTATTCAGAATGATCCAAAAACCCGAAAAAAAATTTGTCCGGGCAGATGAAATTGATTTATACAATTTGTTTAAAAAAAATTATTCTATAAATAAATTAGAACCACTTCTGCTGGTATTATGTTATAAGACGAAATAAGTTAAATACAAAGTTATCAATTAATTGAATTGTCTGTGTATGTAAATTAAATGTACACTACCTTTAATAATGAATGTTCTCTCTTTCGACTTCGACTGAACTGCGTGGTTCTTTTGTGGGGTCATAAGTATAACACTCTCTACATGGTACTGATATTATATACTCAATGTGACTGTGCAACCCGAATGGTCTCTATTATATAGACGGAATATTACGAACGATAAGACATACACAAACGCGTTAATTAAAACTAAATAAGAAATGAAATAATTAATAAAATGTTAAAAGAACTAAACAATATATATGAAAGGACGGAACACCGAGTTTGTCACCTGGACTAGTTTGTATTTATAGGTCGTTGTTGTAGCCGTCGTCGTCGTCGTCGCTAAACATTCAGTTTCAGATGATTCGGTATCGATATTTAAATAAATAATAATCCCACGCGCTTCATCCAGAATGAATTCTCGGCTGAAGTACTCTTCTTCTACTTTATCAACATGCCTGCAAGTACTTGTCCATATTTCTGGAGTGATTTCATTTAGCCTGATTTTTGCTAGTTCTAAAACATCTGCTAATTTAAAAGTCGTGTGTCTTGCTACAACAAATGGGTTAAGTTCCGGATGATATGGCGGTAAACGTAAAACCGAGTGGCAGTGCTGTGCTAATAAAATTGGTCGACAGCATACACTGGGTTTTTAGGTTTAGCAATGAGTACCTTATTATAGAGCTACTACGGTTTTGTTTCACTTTCATCGAAAAACATATTTCTTTCTGTCAACCATTTTTTCATGATGTCTTTTTTCGAAGTTGATGTAGGATATTTTTCAAGAGTCACATTATGATATGAGGCGTTGTCTATTACTACAACTGAATTGGAAGGTAAATTGGGAAGAAGTTTGTCTTTCAAACACTTCGAATAATTCTGGTGATTCATGTCATCATGATAATCAACAGTTTTTTGTCCGGATTTGAAAATGAGAGCAGCATTCTCGACAAATCTATTTTTACCACCACAATGTAAGATGATCAGTCGTTGTCCTTTAGACACCGGAGATTTTATGCACTTGTTTCGTCCATAATCCCAACCTTTTGGAACTGTGTGGGAACTATGTATATAACTTTCATCACTATATACAATATTTCTATCTACAAAAAATTGTGAATTACTTTAAAATTAGTTATAATGTAAATAAATATCTTACTTTCAGATTTGTACTTATTAAATTTTCTTAGAAATTCTATTCTTTTGGCTCTTATGTCAGTTTTTTCAATTAAAATTTTCCTGTTGTGTTTCACTTTTTTCCATCTAAATCCTAATGTCTTCACAATTTTTCTAAAAGAAGATAGTTTACCAGTTACAATTCTTTCGTTTCTAACAGATTTGTAAACAGCTTTCATGGTAGAGTATGTTTCAACTATAGTGGCGGAAATTTCTTGGAAAACTAAAGCCTCACCAAACGAAGCAGTTACGTCCCAGAAAATACTTATGATTTAAATCAATTGTTAAAGATAGATACACACAATTTATTAATCAATGATATTAGATTATATTTTTGACAATATTGTACTACATTATAAGTAATACTTATTATTATAATATATCACATATATAATATTTCCTGTATGTGATACCATAGATACGTATTACAGACTACAGGATTAATAAATATTAATTACAAAGATTGTTTTAACTTTAAAAACTTTATTATTTATATTATTACCCACTTAAATGTCACAAAGTTAAATAGAAGAATATACGAAATGATTATAATGTTAAATCCTAATGTTAAAATTATATTATACACTTTCATAATCAGATGCACTGTCGTCATCACTAGAATCATTTAAATCAATCCTTAATTCTTCAGTAATTACATCTATGCGACATTTACTTTCCAAATACTTATCTTCAACCTTGACAACATGTTCATACACTTTTTTCCAGTTATCTAATTACTCTAGCAAATTCCTGTCCCACCAATACTTTTACGTCTTCTAACTTAAAATAAACGTTTTGTTTTGCAACTTCATTTTATATTTGGGCCCAAACCATTTCTATAGGGTTCAAGTCTGGATGATATGGCGGGAGTCTTAAAGATAAACATGTCCACATTCTTGCAGCACTTTGTCAAATTTATATTGAATATGATCTTGTTTGTGTAATTTGATGATTTCATACAATTGCGGTTTTAACATTATTACAAATAACATTAACGTTACAAATGGTACATTTTTTCTGTCAACCAAGATATCATATCGATTTTTTTTTAGAATTACTGGTGGGTGCTTTATTAATTTGTACATTATGATATGACACATTATCAGTAACAACAACAGATCCAACAAGCAAATTGGGGATTAACTGTTTTTTCATCCATTTTTCATAATTTTCTGAATCTTCATGATAATCTCCTATCTTAGCTCCTGACTTAAAAATCAAAAGGAAATTCTGTATAAAACCCATCTCCCCACCACCATGTACGATAACCAACCTACTTCCTTTTGAAATGTTTTTGAACAATTCTTTGCCACTGTCATCTGTCCAGCTATTTGGCGTAGTGTGTCCTGCATGTAAATAGGTTTCATCAACATATACAATTGACTTACCTAATATTTGTAATATTTAATTTTGTCCAAATATATAATGCATAGAGCATGAATATCATTTCGTTCAATTAATAAATGTTGATTATCTTTTGTTTCCTTCGATTTAAATCCCAAATCTTTCACAGTTCTATAGAGAGAACTCACACTTCCAGTCTACTTGTACACCTCTTCAAGCCTTTTCTGCAAAAGCCTCAATGATACATAACAATGTTCAGTCTCATGAAAATGATGAATGATGTTTCTAATGAACTGTTTGTCATATTCCTCAAGTCTGTCTCAGTTGCTTTCCTTTTAGCAAGTGTTGCAGCTAAAAATTTTAGTGTATTATTTAACTCTGCGTTTGTTAACATACTCACTTGTTGAATGATCCTTTCTACTGTACGTAAAGATACTCCAGTAGCTTCACTCACATGTTGTTTAATACTGGTTCAATTATCTTCTTAGTATTTGCATATATTTAAATACATTGTAAGCTATTCCTTTGGATTCTGGTGTCAACCTGATCTATTTCCTCATAATACACTTAACCATCTCTACCTTAACCTTAGTAGTTCTAATATGCATAGTAGCACCTTTCTTGTTGAAACTTGACAACACAATGAGACTAAACTACGAACTCATTTGAAATCCAGTGAACAGAAATTCTTGGAAATAATTCTTATCAGTTCTTTGTATGTCCTTAACGAGGCGTTAAAGAGTCATTAATAATGACTTTATAATTACGGTTTTAAGGTAACTTATACTAAATTAGAAATTAACTTTTACCAAACTTTATAGAGTATCAATTATTAAAGATGCTTTTATAACAAACAAAAAGTTTGTTATCTATAAAACAATATGTGTACAATCAAACTCCATTTATTATTTAAGTGAGTAATAATTTTGTAATTAGTGTGATTTCAAATAATTTAATTTGTTTAATATTGTAACGCCATTGCATGGGTCTGATCATAGATATTCGATTGTCTGTGCGATTAACTATTTCTTGGAAGGGCTCGCCACTAGATTTGGAATAAGCTGTAAGTCTTCTTTTGAGGATAGTAGCAAACATAGTAGTAAATGATAAAGGAGTTATGCAATATCCCAAATCTTTTTCCCATTTCATAAATAAATAAATGTTAAAGATAATTTGCCTCGCTTGCCCATGGACCACTTGTCCATTGTTACTTTCCCTGTAAAACCACTAGGTTTTAGATAATAGATAAAATGCAAAAAAATATTAAAATAAACATAATTTAACTTACATTTTTAGGATATCACTGTAAAATGTTAAAACTGACTTGAAACGCACTGAACATAAATAGTACCTAACTATAAAATAGTAAAAACAATTGTTCACAAAAATAATAAAGTTATTACACTAACACAAAAACTAGTTCGTCTCTGTCCCGCTATGATAACGCACTAAAGAGAACTGCAGTTTTTATCATTGTTTCGTTAGTAGATTGACGTCACTAAATGATTAAATCAGGTCCAAGACATTATGAATTATCTTTACCAATAGCTAAATTGAACTTGTAATATGATGTCTTTTATCATGATTTTGATGATAAAGTTTTTTGTGAATTTGTTAATGAATATTTAGTCTCTATTCCAGCCTCAATTCTGCCCTAGTATAAGTATTTTCAATAGACAACTTAAATTCAAATCTCTATTATTTTGATGTTTTTCTGGTAGTTAATGTACCACCTTGAAGGAAAATTTTGAAATTTAATGAAATTAAAATAGTAAGTCCTATCATATGACATTTGGAAGTTTATAGAGCAGCCATAAAGACAAAAGTAATATTTCTATAAAAAATGTGCTTAAATTACTTATTACCTAATAGAAATATAAGGTATAAGACAATTTCAGAATCAAAAATCTATTTAAAAATTTGTTATAGAAACAAAAACTTTTATTTTCATGTTATATTTAGATACAGTACCTGAGTTTCATGTTAAGAGTTTGCAATTCTCCTGTGTGACTGTAGTCTGGTGTAGCCAAAATTCCTTTCAAGCAAACTCTGTTTCTTGAAATACTATCAGCTACTTTTTCTAATGGAGCACTAAGGGTCGGATTTACTTCTGAAAAGAAGTATGTGTCAAAATCCACAGGTATTCCTGCAGCTTTAAACACTTCTGTGACTGAATATATTAATTCTGGACCCACGCCATCTCCAGGGATCAGAGTACAAGTGGTTCTTGCATCAGGTCGCTCAGCTATTCCAGACTAAAATATTTATAATGCGATATTTAATTAAGTACTGTTTTAAAATAATAATTCAAAGATTTGACTTACTGATAGGCATCTTGTAGTTGTTCTTGGTAAGATTTGTAGTGCCTAAAATAATACTCTTGTTAAAATAAACTTTATTCCATAGAACAAGTTAAAAGTAAGCATATTTTTTTTTAATTGTATAATACAATATAGTGTTCCTGGTATATGATCACCTAGAATACCAGATACTTTTTGCATTTATTACTAATTTATTGAAGCTATGTAAAAATATACCCATTATATTTAACATTTTTCTGTATAAACATTATTCATCTAGTTCTTCATACTAATTCCTGACCTATGGTGTTATATCATCAAATAGCCTTATTGAATTACAAGCAAAAATTTTACCTGTACAAGTAATCGTGGTACATTTCTTGTTGTTACAGCCATGTTTATTGTAGATTATTAAATATTAATGATTTATTGTCTATTAAAAGTACAAATGATCTTATTGTACTTATTTTTCAACACCCAAATCTTTGGGCCACAAGAGAGGTTAGGCTGTTCGTTTAACTTTAAAGTGACACGGAAAATCCCTAGAAGTGCAACTTGAACTTGTTCAAGTATATTGGTATTCCTGATTGGTGATTTTTTTCAAAAAAGATTTTTGTATCAGCAATGTTGCCAAATCAAATTTCTATTTTTATTTCTTGACATATTTTATGTTTCGTGAAATTAAAATGTTAACAAAAAATTATAGTTTCTACAAAATTACCACAAATTAGGTATGATAATATATACTTTAAATATTATGTTTATATGGGATTAAGCCACAATTATTGGTTGTAATGAAAATCATATTTTTCATACATTTTCGCAAAATTTGTATGACAACTCTTTTTTTGAGAACGATTTCCGGAGTGGAAAACACAAGCAAGTTAAAAATGTGAATTCCATTACAACCAATAAGACTAATCCCACATAATATTTAAATCAGACATATTCCACAGGAAAGTAAATTCAGGACCATGATATATCTATACTTAATTTTCAAACAAATAAGTTTGAACAGCATATATCATGTTTCATACTTAACTTGTCTTACACATTGAATTTGTTTAATTTTTATCAGAATAATAATTTTTGATTTGACTGGATTCTGGGATGTTAGCTAATAAAAGCCATTATTTTTGTTTTGTATGTGGACATATTTTGGGTCTCAGGAATACATTGTATGATAGTTGATATAGGATTTCTTTTTGTGGTTAGATTATCTTTCTGTCTGTATCATCAATATCGCTATTCGATATCAAGAATATGTAAAAGAGTAGCAAGACACTGGCTACAACCCAGACAGCACAGGACATCCCTGGGACGTCCATTTTATGTCGTTTTAAGGTCCAAACGTCCCGGGACTTCTTTTGGACGTCCGAGGACGTCCAAGGGATATTTCTAGTCGGACATACCAGAGACGTCCCATAAGGTCGTCCAAGGGACGTCCCATTAGGGATGTATTAGGGACGTTTTCTAGGTGTTAACTGTGTCATTTTTTTACTTAAGCATATTTTTACCAAAATATAATCTTCCTACTAAACTTTATTTTAAAAAGTTATATTTAGTTTTAAATACCATTAATTTATACGAAAACAGACAGAGGCTCCTTTTAGAGAAAAATCTTTATCCTATAGCAGAGCTGTATCTCTAAAATTTTGTTCTGTAGTGGAACTGAAATTTAAAAATTAGGAGATAAAAGAAGAATGTGGTTATGTTTTAACGACGCTTCTATTTATCTCGTTTATTTCTCGAATTATAATCATTGTGGATGTGGTTGTAATTAGAATTAGTTTATTGCTTTCGATACTAGTTTATAGTTTGGTAATTTATTATTATAGACATTAGGTAGGTATATAGGACTTTTATAGGTAATTTTTGTGGTTGTGGTGTGTTGCTACATTTGTAAAGTAAGTAGAAGTAATGTGCTTAAAAAATACTATAAATTTAAATACATATGTTAATATAAGTACACAATAAAAATCCCATTTATTTTTGCTTTTCATTTTATTAATTTTAAGTTCCCTTTAGGTCCTGTATACATCCTCATTTAGGTCCTATATTAGTCCATGTGGACGTACAATAGATGTCCCCAATACATCCTTCTTAGGTCCTATATAAGTCCGTATTAAGTTCTGTATATGTACTATGTACGTCCCCATGAACATCCCTGGGACGTCCAGGGGACGTGCTTTTTGGTAACATTTAGTTCTTATTGGACGTCCCATGACGTCCAAATTATGTAAACGGATGTCCGTGGGATGTCCGGACATTTAATGAGGTACATCCTTTGGACGTCCATGGGATGTACTTGTGCTGTTTGGGAAGCGGCCCAGTGTAGAAAAACACTGGAAAGAAGTGAGCGAGGCCCATGCTCAGCAGTGGACGCGATTAGCTGATTGATGATTGTGATATTATAGCCTCTTAGTTCAGGCGAGACACGTTATAAGTGGCCAATAAATCATGTGTTCTCAAGAAAGACCAACAGTTATTTTATAATCTCTTCGGGTTCAATCTTTAGTTGACCAGTGAATTCCTGCCCCATATCATTTAGCACATTGCAATAATATAGGATTGGTCCGTACCAATCGGTATGGACTGCCGTCAGTATCTTCTTCCATTTCACATTTTCTGCACCATGGTTCATTCACCTTTCCTATTTTGTATAGGTGTGTTCTTAAACGACAAGTGATATATTATAGTATGGATATTAAAGATATTTATACAGTAAGTGCTATAAACCTTTCCACATTAGCTCTGACGTAAAAAATATTTTGTGTATAGCCTACATTTGTGTTAGTTCAAAAGATCCAGATTTTTTGGAAATTATTAATTATTCGTTTCCAATCTACGATTATTTTCTCATAAAGGTTTAAAAATACTGTTCCAAGTATTTATGGCGTTGCTGAACAAGTATCCTGCAATTACAAATCGGCCGTTTGTGGTTCGGCTTCCGTATTTTCGTAAAATGTACATACCTAAAACTATCTTCATGTTGCTCATTTTACAGAGATATAATAGAACACTCAAATAATAACACTTTTGATTACTCTGATTTACTTTTTGGAAGCTATAATATTATTTTGAGTAGTAAGCAGATGGCTATAACACTTTTGTACGAATATCATGTTTTTGTTGTATCACAAAGAACTTTTTTATGTAACAGTGATATTCACTCACACAATACAAGAAATAAGAGACAGTTTGTAGTACCCTATCGACATTTAGAAATAAGCAGGAAGTCATCTACTATCTGTGGTTTACTACTGTATAATCAACTTCCTCAAAATTTTAAAAACATTAATTCAACTACAGCTTTTAAAAACCAAGTCAAAGAGTACCTAGTGACCGTGTCCTTATACATTAGGTGAATATTACGAGGGTGTATCTGTGAATGCCTAAGCTGCAACATAACCAAATTTATTAATATTTTAATTATATGTCTATATTGTACGTTTTTGTAAGTATTTTAATGTCTTAAATATTTTTAATGTATTGTTTCCATTTTTTGTAATATTTAATATTTATAATTTTAGTTTTGACTTGCTGTAAACCTAGTTGTAACTTACAATCAAATAAACTATCTATCTATGTTCGACATTTAACTCGAAACGCATGTAAAACAATATCAGCTTTGTATGTATGTATGTGAAAGATATGGCACGGAAACAAGTCCATCAGCCACATAATGTTTTATTTATGATTAAAGATATTTCTATTGTTCCTATTTTTTTATTTTTTAGATATATGTATAAGTGACTGAAGTTATAATAATGTAAATTTTTACTATTAAATCTTTAATAAAATTTATTAGCAATTCTAAGGTTCTCTATCAGCAGTAGACAAAATGTGTGATAGACTTAACGGAAGCAAATATTTCATTTCAATAAATGTGCGAATTAATTTATTAGATTTTTCTAAATATTTGTTGCAGCCAAAGAAAATATGGTTAAGATCTACGAAAGAACTTATATCACAACTGCAGGATGGTTTCGGTAATATGCCAAGCTTAAATAAATGCGACAGGAATCGACCATGATTCGTTTTTAGGCAAAATACACTTGCCGAAAAGAATTTAGTAGTGGAGAAATTGAATACGTATTGGGGTGGGAGTGGTTAAGTGGGGTGTATCTGGAAATACGCATTTTGCGAGTTTTCAAAACAATATTTTCCCATTGTTGTTCCCATTTTATTTTTTATTGAGTTAAATATATCCCTTACTGTATAAATATTGCAAAAAAACTCCATTTTGTACTGTTTCCTTAGCTAGAGTATTAGCTTTATTATTCCCTGATATACCTACATGGCATCTTACCCAAATAAATGTTATATTTAAATCTGCAATGATGTTTTTTAAATAACATAACATAGGACACTTCATTCCTTAAAATTTTGTATTTTTTATAGACTCTAATGCAGATTTAGAATCTCTTAATATTATTCCTTCGTGTATATTATTGGATATTAACCAGGTAATACCCGTTATAATTCCTAAAAGCTTGGCAGTATAAATGCTCGCTACAGGTGGTAATGTGTATATCAATGATTGGTTTGTATTTTGGATAAATACTCCACGTCCAACACCTCCCTTCGTCTTAGATCCATTTGTAAATATAAGAGTTTTGTTTTAGAAATCATCTAGTATGGATTTTAGGAGGATGTGATCTATTTGATGAGACTCAGTATACTTAAAAATTATGATCCTGTGTTTTTTTTTATTAAAGATTTAAAAATATGGTGTACATATGTATTGTAATTTGTTACTACTAAACAAATTTTGGACTCCATTGGTTTCAGTAAATGCTTCTGCAAGCAGGGAGTATTTTTAGTTCCCAATACTGATTGTTCAGTCTTCTTTCACAATATCACTTAATGTGTTGATTATGTTTGACTCCCGAGCTTTTAGTTTTAACAAATATTTTGCGAAAATAACTGACGGCGCAACTCATTACATTCTGTAAGTATTGCATTTACTGGTAAGGATATCATCCCACCGATGCAAGTTTTAAGACATTTATATTGAACTCTATCTATTTTTTTAGGTTGGAATTACTTAAAGATACGTATAAACAACATCCGTAGTCAATAATGGATCGCACATAGGCTCTGTAAAACATTAAAGCTATACTAAGGGTTACCCCAAATTCGATTTGTTATGCACTAAGTAAATTAAAACCTTTCTCGCTTTTGCTTATTAGGTAACTTATATGACTGGACCATAGTAATTTTGTGTCAAGTATGATACCCAAATATTTATATTCGTTAACTACCGACAGGGTACGCCCACACAGGGTTAGGTTCCCCGGTGAAAATAGTCTATGCCTGATAAAAAACATAATAGAGCACTTTTCTGTAGAAAGGGCCATACCTATTTCTTCTGTCCGTGCAACCACTGTATTAATAATGTTCTTTAGAGCCCCAATGCAAGCATCATAAGTAATTTTGGATGGAGTATATATAGATGTTATCTGCATATTGGAGACACTTGATGGAATTAAAGAAAAGTGAATGAATACTGGCAGAGTAGGTATATATT